CAATGTTGTATGCAAACAGTGTACATATATGACCTCATTCAGTCCTCAAAACTGCCCTATAAGATTGGTACTATTAATATCCCCCATTTGCTAGAGAAGGAAACTGAGGCACAGGGCAGTTTCCTAACTTGCCCAAGGTCACCCAGCAAAGGAGGGATTTGAACCCAAAAATCTGGCTCCAGCATCCCTGCTCTGAACCACTTTGTTACACAGCACGATGCCCGAAAGCCCCGAACGCAAGTGAAAACGCTTTGCAAATGAATGGTGCCCTTCTTGTTCTCCTGAGAACTGCTATCGCTGGGGAGGGTGCAAAGTGGGATCAGGATTCACTGGGCGAGGGAGGATCAATCCTGCAGCCTTAGATCCGCGGCCCTGCCAGGTGCCGAGCTTCCAGTGGCATGTCCTGCCCCTCCCAGCTGCAGGACTGTCTTCCTATGTTCTCTTTCAAAGCAGTGTCTCTGCTGCCAGGAGCAGGTTTGTCTGTCTCCTGGAGACAGCGGTTGTCAAGCCCCGAGAGAACAGCAAGCATGTCAAAAATAGCAGCGCCAGCAGACTGCGTGGCTGCAATTTCCTTTTGAAATGTCGGCTTTGCTCTCACCAAAGAGCCAGGGTCTGTCTGCGCTCCTTGCAGCCTGCAGCAGACACTGCTTAAGGTTCCAGAAGGTTTTCCAGCATATGTGCGGGGCTCATGACCAGCTAAGAGAAATTCTCTTTAGAGTAACAATGAGGGTGCAGTTGTGTTTTTTTTTTTTAATTGTCATAAGCCCCAGCAAGCTAGACCCCAACTAGGTCAAGTGATAGCCAAGGTTAGACCTGTGTTAATGACACTTAGGTAGTGCAGGACCCTTTTCTTCTTTGTCCTGAGAATGAGGGAGTCACTATCCTGTTGGGATAACCCTTCAAAAGTGGTTGCAGATAGTTTTCCACTCCCCTTTTAGGGCACCATGTGGGGCAAGGGGACAAGGACCAAGAAGGGACACAGAGGCAGGGTGAACCACTTTCTCAAGTTCAGGGCAAAGGGATGTGAAAAAAATGGCAATCTCCAACCCCACGGGGACCTCAAGCCCAGAACAGGAAAGTGGTTCATCGGGAGACCTGGCAACCTGAAAACCCATCTGTCCTTTTTCCCAGGGGCCTGCATCTGGGAAGATCCCTCTCCCACCCACCGCCAAGCTCCAGACCTTATTCTGCCATGAGCTATCTGTGCAACCCGAGGCAGCCTGTAGAAAGTGGAGTGGAAGGAGGAAATCTTACAGCTTAATAAATGGATTTCTTTTTCTCCCGTAAGTGACGATGACAAGCTAGAATTAGAGCACGCTGTCCTTCCCGTGGCAGTAACACACGGTCGAAACCAGTCTGAGCCAGGATGGCAGCTCCAGCCAGACTGTCCTGGGAAGACAACATTCTCTGGGAATCTATCTCGGAATGTATGTCGAGTTGCAGAGGGACAGAAATGCCACCAAAAAGCAAGGGCTCGGGCGGTGGTGGGGAGGAATGACGAGCCGTAGGACAGGAAGATGCATCTGAGGAAAAGCACCGAGGGGAGAGAAGGAAGGGAGCCTGTGAGCACAAGGCGAATAAGGGCAAGAGAACAAAGTCTGATAAATAATAGTGGAGCAGGCCAAGCAAGATAAACGAAGGCTCTTACCTCTCACTTCATTTGTTTGCCCAAAGCACCAAAGACTCCTGGGACCTCATCATGGGTTATTAAGGGTTAACGGCTTATTAAGAGTTAATGACTGCTCTAGGGAAGAGTTTGGAGAAGGGTTTAGGAAAAATAAAACCTTGGCTCCTATGCAATTTCTTAAGGAATTCTAAGTTTACAGGTACAGGGATCAGGTGGGGTTTGGGTTTATTTGTGGGGATTTTTTTTTAATTTTTTAATTTTTTTTTTTTTTTTTTTTTTTTTTTTTGCTGTCAAAGTATAAGTTCTTTGGACAAGTTCACTGCCTGGGTCCTACATAATGAATAACATCCAACATATTTATCATAGTTCAATATGTGCTAATTATGCCCTACACTACTAAAAAATGGTTTGACGTACCTTTAGAGCAAAAAAAGATATAAATCCCACAACAGTTGATGTCAAAATTAAACATACACACACACACACACACACACACACACACACACACACACGCACTTCTTGGTATTGTGCATGAACAGCAAGGAACAACTGCATGTAAGCTCTAAAGTGTCCCCGTGTGGCAGAAGAAAAAAACTGTCATTCCATTCCAGATATCCATCTTTAGAGATGCTAAACTTCTAGATTTATAAAAACAAACCATTCTCCCAGCCAAGATGTAAAACTCCTAGGTTATTAGACTCATGTTGCTTTTTTTTCACAATTCAATGGGTTTTTTAGGTTAATTTTTAGAGTAGTATGATTATCACCACAATCCTATTTCAGAACTTTTCCATGAACCCCCAAATGTTGTCTGGTGCCAGTTTTGCTAGCACAGTCTTCAGCCTTTGGGGGCCCCTTGGGCCATCCTGATGTCTGATGCAGACAGGATTGACCCCATGTTCTAAGACGTCCAGCAGGGAAGGTCCATAAACTCTCCTTACGGACTGGCTGGTGGGTGTCAATCCATCTCGTCAAAGCGTGTCATCCCTGCTCCTTGCACCCCTGAGATTTGTGTCCTTTCTTTTTGTTTTGCCTTCAGACAAGCAAAACGCCAGCCAGATCCTCAGGAAACCTTTGAGGGGATTAAGGGCAACTGTAAGGCCGCTCCTAAGTTAAGGCTTTTTCCAGACTAACTCCAATCTCATGCCTTCCTCCTAAGTCCCCTTTTCTCTGTTTATTTTCCTATTTCTATTGTTCCTTTGTCTTTGCCCTATCTGCAAGCCCCTTAAGGTTGGGGGCCCTGAGCTGGGCACGTTGCAGGGCTCTTTGGCAGGGCATTCATCTGAGACCTTTCAGGTTTATTCTCTCCCCCCGCCCTTCTCTCTTTTATCCTTTCAGGTCCTGGAAATTTCTGGGAAACGTTTTTCTAAACCCACAGCAGTCTCATCCCACGTGGTAGGTTCAGGACTCCCCCCTGCAGAGGTATGTGGTGGGAAAGGAAGGTACAGCGAGGTGTCAGACACAGGGGACCCCCAGCTGCACACCGACCTCCTCGGCGCACAGCCTGCGTCACAGCTGTCCTGGAGTCCAGTGTGCGACCACGACAGCAGCGCTAGGTGCTCCCAGCCACCACAAAGGTGGAGAGAGCGCGAAAGAGCCAGGAAGACACACTTGGAAGGAATAAGAGGTTAAAACAACACGGAGGGTGGGGGGCGGGGGGAGGAACCAGAAGGAAAAAAAACTGGAGAAAAGATAAAAAGGCAGAGAAAGTGAGGACGAAAAGCAAAGGGAAATGTGCACAGGAAAAGCGATGAGTGACCAAGGGGGCAGCAGCATCAAAGGGACAGAAATTGAGAAAAAGGAAACTGACGTCGAAGGAGCAAAGAAAAATACACACAAAAAAGTGAGGTGGCCTCTGAGGAAAGAAAATCAAAACCTTGTCTCTGCCCAAGTACAGGCTCTCCCGCCTCCTCTCTCCCCCACCCCGGGTTCTCATTTTGCCCGAAGGACTAAGCCGGGAAGGACACTTCCCTCCAGTACAACCTACCTCAGACGCCCAGGAGGCGGCTGTCCCTCCTTGCTCCTTGGGGACGCACAGGCAGGAGGAGTGCCCCGTCTCCGGGAAGTCCCCTGGGAGGAGCTCCTGCTGGCTCGAGCCAGGCGGGGCAAGGGCTCCGGCCCCACCGTCCCTGGCCGCTGTGAGCCGCCAGCAGGGCCGTCCGGAACACACGGTGCACACTCTCGGTGCTCAGCGGCGTCCGCGTGGAGGGGCTCAGGGTCGGAGAGGGATCCCTTGACAGAATCCTTCACAGAAACTAGGTCGGGCCACAGCCTCTCGGTTTCTCTTCAGCGCCTTACAAAGAACCGCCTATGAGATTCCTCCCCGGAGCTAGACTGTTGCTGGGGAGGAAGGAGTCGCATTTGTCTGTCTCTCCTTGAACAGGGAAGAGCCTCCTTCTGAGCAGCCGAGAACTCCATAGTACCTAAGACCATTATTACTCTTGGGGAGCACAGCCTGGCTGCCCCTCCAGGGATAAATCGTCCTCTCCACAGGCTCCCCTTATCATTTTGAAAAACACACCAATGATGTTGGTTTAACTGGCAGCTGCTTAGCACTCAAGTGTCCGAAGAGTCAGGAGTAAGATGGGGCAGCTTCGATGACTGGGTGGGGAAATCAGGAAGAAGTGTCCGGGGAGGAAGTTTTGGGGACCTGCTTCCTCCACATTTTCCAAAGGTCCCTGTCCCTGTCCTGGCACCACCAGCCTCAGAACCAATATACGGGAGGTGCTTCCATTTGAGAAGCTGGGAATATGTGGTCCCCTGTTTTCCCTTGATGCACAAATCAGAAGATGGAGAGAACACTCTGGAAGGTTGCTACGGCAACTGGAGTCCCTGGAGAGCCTGGCTCTTCACAAACCCTTTACTTTCAGGCATGCTCTGACTCGAAAAAGAAAGGTTTTCTCAGTGATGGTGATGAGGATGATCACATACACACATACAGAGATGCACGCACACGTGTCCCAACTTGTACTCTCAGTTGGGAGCACTCCTCTTGCCTCTGGAATGGGCTCATCTCTTCTTTTCCCAAATAGCCAGGAGTAACTGAAGATATTTGGAAAACTAGTACTGGCCTCAGAGCAGGTATTTTCTGAATCATAAACACCTCTATTTCCTACTGTATTTCAGGTTTGGAGACGCCAAGCTCCCAGTCAAGGTGACCTCCAGCCCTGGAAGAATCCAACCGAACATATCTAAAGAGCACCCTCCTTTCTGAAGGGTAAGAAGAAAGACTGAGGCTCAGTCCAAGAGGCCCAGGAGGGCTTCGGGGAGCTAATGGTCCGTAATGGCCTATCCTTGAGCTTTGAACCCAAGGCAGGAACTCTGGGGACAGGCCTTGCCTTGGGGGATGGAGACACAGGGTAATGAACTGAAAATCAAATTCTTTACCAAAGTTCATGCATTTGCATAGCATCATCTCCAGCTTCCCAGATGAGTTCATTGACAGTCCCCATGAGGTAGGGAGGGGAAGACATTAGTGTTCCCATTTAATGGGTGAGAAAACTGAGGCACAAAGAGGGACTGTGGTGCCAAAGTTACCCTGTAAAACTGCGACAAAATCCAGATTTAGATCTGGCACTGGTAGGAGCCACACTGCCTCTCAAGCAAACCCTCAAAAGGCTGTCCCCCTTGTTAGTTGCTCTTTGACAAAATAATTCTTTTTAAAAAATTCTCATCCAAGAGTCTTAAAGCATAGATATAACATTAAAAACATGTTAACAGTCCTTTTGGTTTCAGAACTGCACCCAGAAGAGCTCAGAATAGTACATCACAGTTTATCAAAGGTAAAAATGAATGGCAATGTTACTGGGAGAGAAAGGAGGGGAGGCGGGCAGGTGGTGGGCGGCAGTGGTTTCCCAATAGAAGAAGGTGGCTTAGCCCACATGGGAACACCACCACTTTACCTTACCAGTGAGGGCAGGCCAGATGCAGCTCCGAGGGGTAAACAGGCAAGCGTTTGCTTGACTCAGCAAAAACCTCTCACAGTGAGGCTGTTGGCAAAGGAGTAATGCTTGCTCCTTACTCTAAACGATGTATTTCACTGCCCATAAAGTGGGAAGAAACCCATGCTGGCATCCAATTACACTTTTACCTGTCTGTGGGTTTAAGCTGCAGTTTGCTTTAAAATGCCTTCAACTGCAATCCTAAGTCGAATGCCCAGGAAGCAGGGTGGAGGGCTAGAGAGGGCTGGGGGAAAATGAGGGAGAAAAAGCTGCCTCTGCAACGGGATCCCTCTGCCCCTTGGGGATGACAGCATCTGTTTAAGTGGCACCTTGCTTCAGACAAGCAAGTGGTCAAGCCACTTGCTTGACTCTATTCAGCTGTTTCCCCTGGCTCTGTGGTTCCCTTTTTCCAGTCCCTTTGCACAGGAAGGCACTTGCACAGAAAGAGCATTTGGCTCTGAGAAGGAGCCTTCCTGGAGGCTTGAGAGGATCCGGGGGTCAGAGTGGGAAGGACTACATGTAGACTAAAGGCCAGTGCCTCTTGTGCAGAACACACCTGGAAGAATCCATTGGCCCCTCTGGTCTGGGACTGACCCTCACGTCCTCCAGATGGTCAAATTTGATTGCATTTTCTCTAATTCCATCCAAGATTAGAACTGAATAACCTATTTTGAGGTGGTGCAAATAAAGGCTCTACCACAGGTCTTCTGTAGGACAGCCAACAGGTGTTACAGGGCACTGGAATAAAACAGCCAGGTGAGGACTGTTTCTGTCCTTCAGCTTCTGCTAGTTACCAAGTGGCTAGAAGCTAAGAGAGGTGCAAGACCCAAAGCAAAGGACACTAAGGAGAGAGACAGGACCCAGGTATGGCTGGTTTCCATTCTGTTGACGTTGCCATTCCTAAAGATATTACAAAGTCCCGGATGTGAAAAATCAGAGTCTTGAGGGAAGGTCAGACAAAAATGTATATCTCATCCGTGTGACAGAAGATGGCCATGATTGGTGGCTCCGTTGGAATTTCAAAAATGTCACTGAGATGGAGAAACCTTGAATGCCACGAGGATCAAGCACAAAGCTGACAGTCCAGGTGTTTGGTCCTCGACGCCAGGTAGTGGGTGTAGGGGAGGGAGTCAGGAAGTCAACTGAAGCTGGGGTGGGAGTAGTGAGAATGAGAAGGAAGCCTAAGAGACTGTTCAGTGCTCCGCTTCTCCTGCAGGCCCTGCCTGCATGGCTCAAACCTCGGTGAGCATCCTCTTCTCTGCATACGCCCGATGTGGAGTGGGAAGGTAGCTGGGTCTCCGCTCCCGGGTGGCCTCGGAGAAGTCAGGCTTGCCAAGTCCATTGTCAGTCACCTTCAGGTCCGGCGCAGGCTGCCCACAAGTGACGTGGGTATACTGACCCTGCTCCTCCTGCTCTGTCTCCCGGTGGTAGAAGTAGTTGAAGTTGGAGACGATGACGGGCACAGGCAGGGCAATGGTGAGGACCCCAGCGATGGCGCACAGAGAGCCCACGATCTTGCCCCCCACTGTCATTGGGTACATGTCCCCATAACCTACCGTGGTCATTGTAACCACTGCCCACCAGAAGGCATCGGGGATGCTGGGAAAGAGTGAATCATCATCATCAGCCTCTGCGAAGTAGACGGCACTGGAGAAGAGGATGACGCCGATGAAGAGGAAGAAGATGAGCAGCCCCAGCTCCCTCATGGAGGCCTGCAAGGTCTTGCCCAGGATCTGCAGCCCCTTGGAGTGGCGGGAGAGCTTGAAGATGCGGAACACCCGGACCAGGCGGATCACTCTGAGGATGGCCAGGGACATGGCCTGCTGCCCGTTCTGGCCGCCCCCTCCGCTGGCTGGCTGCTGCTCCTGTTGCTGCACCAGCTCGGTGCCCAGGGTGATGAAGTAGGGGAAGATGGCCACCAAGTCAATGATGTTCATGATGTTGCGGAAAAAGGCCGGCTTGCTGGGGCAGGCAGAGAAGCGCACCAGAAGCTCGAAAGTGAACCAAACAATGCACAGAGTCTCCACCAGAAAGAAGGGGTCTGTAAAAAAGGAGCCCCCAAGAGTACTGAGTGAGGAGGAGCCTCCTGTCCCCATTCCCCCAGGGGTGATGCCAGGATGAAATGCATAGGAATCGTCTTCATCCTCCTCTTCCTCCTGACTCCCCCTGGAAACTGGGGAGACTCGGCTCACACCATCACCATTGCTTCCACCTCGACCGTCTGCACGGAACTGGGGCAAGGTCTCCAAGCAAAAGATGACGATGGAGATGAGAATGACCAACACCGAAACGATGGCGATTCCCCTGGCGGGCCCGGAGCTCTCCGGGTACTCGAAGAGGAGCCAGACCTGGCGCTGGAAGGGCTGGGACGGCAGCGGCTTCTCGTCCTCGCCACCTTCGGGCAGGCAGCCTTCGTCCTCCCGGAAGGCCGCCAGGGCCTCATCGCCCAGCTGGTAGAAGCGGATCTCCTCCAGGAAGATGTCCAGGGGCACGTTGACCGGCCTCCGCAGGCGGCCCCCCGACTGGTAGTAGTAGAGGATGGCGTCGAAGCTGGGCCGGTTGCGGTCGAAGAAGTACTCGTTCCTCAGGGGGTCGAAGAAGCGGACTCGGCGGCCAGGGTCTCCGAGCAGCGTGTCGGGGAACAGCGACAGGGTGCGCAACTGCGTCTCAAAGCGCAGCCCGGAGATATTGATCACCAGACGCTCGCTACTACAGCAGCCCCCGCCCCCTCCGGCCTCCGGGAAGTCTCCCGCATCCTGTTGCTCCCCCTCCGGCCCACGGACCTCCCCCGGCGCCGCCAGCGTAAGGGATTTCTCCGATCTCATGCCCCCTCCGCGGCGCGCTCCCCGCCACTAGGACGGCGCCCACGACACAACCCCTGGAGCGCGGCGCCCGCTTCCCCGCTCCCGGCTGCGCCCTCTCCTTAGGGTGGGGCTCGCGGTCTGACCTGGCGCTGGGGTCGCTGAGCCCTGAATTCCTGGTCCCTGCAAGGCTGGGTCTGGGGAGGTGACCTGGGCGCCAAGGACCCGGCTCTGCGCTTCCAGTCGCCCGCGCCTCGGTGCTACGGCTTACTGGGATGCCCGGAGCCGCGAACTGGCGCGTGTGAAACTGGCCGCCCGGGAAGACGCCTGGCTTCGCCCAGCCGTGCCCGAGACCGGGCTCCCGGACGCGGGGGTCCGCCCTCCAGTCCGGCCAGCTCTCCTCTCCCGGCGCCCACCGCGCTCCTCCAGCCGCTCAAGACCCCAGGCTGCCGCTGGCACCGAGGCGCCAGATGCGCCTCCCTCCGGCTCGGCAGAGACTCCTGGCGGGGCTCGGCCTCCGCCCTACGTCCACCGCGGGGCTCTGTCTGGCCAAGGTCGCAGTTCCAGCCGCCGCAGCCGTCACCTCCTCGCTAGGAGCCGCGCCGCAGGCCTCGGAGAGGGCCCTGGGGCTGCCCCGGCGCCGGAGCGCGGGGACCCACCTCCCCGCGGCTAAAGCCTTCGCTGCAGCCGCCGCAGCTGCAGCGGCTCGGCTCTCGGCTCTGCCCTTCCTCCCCAGCACACTCTCCAAGTGACGTGGCAGGCCCCGCCCGCTGCCCCCTCCCACCCCACTCCCACATCACACCCCTCGCCCAGCCGGGGGCTGCCGCGAGCCGGGGCGCGGCGCAAACAGGCACACACTCGCCCCCCCAGCTATCTTTCCCGCGCTCTCCTGGCACGCCTCTCGCCTTCACACATTCACATCCGCAGCCCCGGCAGCCGCCGGGACCCGACCACCACACCCCCGCCACCCCCGCTGGTGATCGGCTTTCCTCATTTCGGTTACCGAGTTGACCTGCGCAGTGTATTTCATCAATAAGAGGACACACCCCGCCCCACTACACTCATCCAGAAATTTAAGGGAAGAAATTATACCATATGTGATCCCTCTGTATTTACAAAGACCCATTTGCTAGCCTCTGCAATATCTACTGAGGAAGTATTTTCGAGATGTCTCGAAAGCTTTCCATTTCAATTGTATTCCAATGTAATTCTCCCAGAGAACCTCCTGTGCAGACCTTCCAGGGGGATAGCATTGCAAAGACGTAATAGAGAAAGGGGTGGGAAGTCTATCATTGCCCTTCCCATGAGAAGTTTTCCAGGAGACTCCCGGGAACATGAGGCAGGAAAGAGCCGGAAGACGGTGGCATCTCAGGGCTGTCACAGCCCGGGAGGAGGGGGAGCGCACCCTGAAAATCCTTTGCTCCCAGCCACCCTGGGATGCATGTGGAAATTCTGCTTACAGCGGCTGCCAAGAAAGGGGAGGAGAGGGTGAGTGGAAAGGGGGTATGTGAGAGTTTTGATTAAAAAAAAAAAAAAAGCTACATTTACTGAGCATCTAATATGTACCAGCCATATTCTAGGTGCTTTACCAGAAAGATGGCCTCTGCTCCTAGACCATGTTACAGAGAAGATCCATTTGGCAATATTTGCATAAGGTAAAGTTTGTTCTTAGGGACCAGTTTTCTCTTTCCCTAACTGTCCAGGAGGAAGGAGGTAAGAAATATTTTCCATCCGTTTCTACCAGAGACCACATAGCTTTTCTTCACCAGATCAGACAGTTTGGGGTCTGGTGAGGGAGGGCTCAACTGATCTTTTCACTCTGCCACTTCTAGGTAGGGTCGACATTTGCTTCTCTGTGCCTCAGTTTCCTCCTTTCTGGCTGGCTGTGGCCAAAATAAATTGGCTGACAACCACAAGGAGTGTTTGTGTAGCTCCTTGTGCATATTAGATCATTAGTAAGAGCTCACTGAAGATCATGATAAGAATGACACATAAAGGTACTCTCAAACCACAAGATGCATCTAAAAGTTCTTTGTATTGCACAAAGCATTTTCAAACCACAGTGGTTCTCAGCAGTTCACTCCTTGAGGGCGGGGGGAGGAGAGAAGCGAGACTCCGGCTGTGCTGTGTGGGGAGGAGGTCAGGTGTTGAGCAGGTAAGGAAGATGTAGTGTTAGAACTCACTGCATCCTCACTCTCTAGGCTTGTTCCCCACCAAGCCCTGGCGGACAGCAGCCTCTGCTTCCTTTCCGTGCGGGGATTGTGGGCTCCCACTCCCTTCATGTTTCAGCGAAGGGAGAGGAAGCAAGAGCACCGAGTTACCCACCCAGTCGCTTGCCATTTACAGGCTATGCAATTAAGCAATTTAGACTTTACACAACAGTTGCTCCATTCAAAAAAAATTTTAAAGGGAAGAAAAGGAAAACAACAAATTCTTTTTTATTTTGTTTTCAAAATTTATAGTGAATTACTCATTTGCATGTTTGTTTTCATCATTGTCATTTTTATTCGTGAGGTTGTCAACTAGGTCAGTACATCTTCAAAACAAACCTTAGAGAAGCATGGGAAGGAACTACATTCTGCCACAAGGGTGCACAGCCTGATACCGTGGCGGGAACCTCCATTTGAGTACCCCTTGGGCTAAGCCTGGCCAGTGCTGCCCGTCGCCCCACAGGCAGAGCTGCTGTTCTATGGTTACGTTCACGTCAGGCATGAGGCTATTGCCCCAAGAGAGCTTTTACTGTGCCTGGGGAGATTCCTCTGGGAGGGAAAAGCCATTAGCAAATTCATGAATCAGAGTTCTGTTTTTAGTTCTTTTGTGAAATAGAAATGTTTAAGAAAAACCCTATGTCTAGAGCATCCCTCCCAAGCATATATTAAAGTTGAGTAAAATCACACCTTCAGAAGTGCCAGTTCCCAGGTGAAAGAAGACAAGAGGCACAACTTCATCCATAGACACTGCAAAACATCTTCCAGTGACAGGTGATCCTTTCCCCAGCTTTCACTGAGCACCAACTTCATGCCAGCACAGATTTTTTTTTCCTTGTTGTATTTAGAATCAGATGTTTGCAGCGGTCACAGGGATCATTCATTTATTTAACAAGTATTTATTGAGCGCCTACTGGGTGCCAGCCTGATGCCAGGTGCTGAGTGATCTAGACAAAATATCTACTCTTATAAGCTTACATTTTCGTGCAATAAATACATCACATTCTAGACAGAAACTTTCAACAGTAAACAATAGAGAACCTATTTACATATCGTAGTAAATGCTTTGAGGAGAATAAATGAGATACTGTGTCAGAAATGAACCTGGAGATTCAACTCCGAGGAGGGTGGTTGCAAATGTTCCCTCTAAAGAGACAATAATTCAACTGAGAATCGAAAGATGAGAATGGGGCCAGTGAGGGAGAGCATCTGGACTGACAAACACAAAAGCTCTGAGCCAGAAGGGTCATGGGTGCCCAAGCATCATAAAGAAGTCTGTGTGCTGGCAGGAAAATGGGCAAGAAGGGGAGCGGCACACGATGAAGTTGAAGAAGAAGCAGGGGTGAGATCTTGCAGGGTGGGGTGTTCAGGTTTTGTCGTAAGGGTGATGTGAAGCCCGTGATGGTTCTCCAGCAGAGGAGAGAAGTGATGTGATCTACACAGAGGCTGCGAGGAGAATGAATTACGAACAGGCAGAAGGAAAAATAGAAAGACCAGGAAATTGCAGTAGTCTGGGGAAAAGTCGGTGCTGACATAAACAAGGGAAAGGTAGGCGGAGTAGAGAGAAAGTGGGGAGGAGCCTGGAGGATTGGGGAGATAGATTTAGGAGTAGATCAGCAGGAATTGGCAATCAACAGGACATGAGAAATAAGCAATGAATGTCAGGTTTTTGGTTTGAGCCCCTGGGTAGGTCAGTGTTGCCATTTATTAACTAAGGGAAGATTAGGGGTTAAACAAGTTGGGATCAATCCAGACCTCACTTTTAGACATATTAAATCGGGGAGGCAAATTAGACATGCAAATGAAGACATCAAGGAAGCGGATGTTTATTCAGGTCTGGAATATGGAAGAGAAATTTGTGACATAAATTGAAAACATTTAGAAATATTTAAATCCATGGCACTTAAGTCTTCTGAAGAGACAGAATATGGACAATGAAGAGAAACAAACAGGATCAAGTCTTTCAATTATCATTCAGGTTCAGGAGGAAGAGGAGCCAGCAAAGGAAGCTGAGGGGTTGTCAGTGGGGTAGAAGGAAAGCCAAGAGAAGGGGCTGCCCTGGAAACCAACAACTGGGACCAGACCCCAGGGATTCCTGTCCTCCCAGGACCATGCTGGCCTTCCAGTGGAACACACTATCCACATCAGATCAGGGGCACATGGTGAGAAGAAAAGTGCATCCATGGGGAAGAACCACCTAAAAGTGGATGTATGTGCCAAACAACATGAGCACATATAATGCGGCACATAATTTGATAACCATTTATGTTCTTACCTCTGCCCCAAACTCTAAAATGTGCTTATCCCAGGCATATAAATAATCATTCTATTCTATCATCCAGGCTTCTTTTTATTAAATTTTTACTTTGCTCTGTGTGTCTGTGCATGCGTGTGTGTGTGTGTGTGTGTGTGTGTGTGTGTGTACGCACTTATCATGACCCTGGTGTTAGCAACCATGTAGTTTTCCTCCGGGAAGAGAGAATGGTGGTCATAGACTTAGGCTTGTTTCTCTGAGTAATCTCTGGGAATGGTTCTTTTCACTGCCCTGTCACCCACAGAACCCTGCTGTTAGGAGGGGGTGGCAAGTGGTCAGCTCCCTCGCCTCCTACTGAGTGAACACGTGTGCACACACTCTCCCTAAGAAGCCTCACCACTCAGAGCCCACTGGAAATAGGGGTGAGGAGTCAGAACTTATGTCCCTCCTCTGCCTGTCCCACCTCTGGGCAAGCAAAGCTCACTGTTGGTGTCCTTCAACAATTCAGGGTGTCCCAGTGGAAGCTCCTCCGACCAAACACCGTGTTCCACCACTAGCAAGACCACATGGCACCTGCTGGTCCTACAAACCAATCAATATGCTGTGCAGGCACTTGATAGCATAACTCTTCAACCTAGAGTCCCCTTCTATTAATTTAGTCTTTGGAAGCACTGTGACCATTTCCCTCCTCCTGGACTTTCCCTGTGACCAAGTGGATGGGGAGAGGACAAAAGCAAAGACATATCCTATAGATGAGCTCTATTTATAATTAGATGCTTAATCAAATTTTGATGATGGCGATGATGTCAATTACAAAGTGGTGATGGTGATGATGTTGCTGCTGCCAAATTCACTAGAGACAAATCTAACAGCTTTCACTTCAATGAAGCTGTATATTGGAAAAGAAATGCATTAGACATCTGTGCCGCACAGATCGATGGCGGAACTCCTCATCTTTCAGGGAGGATCCCAAGAGAGCTTGTCAGTATCATACGCTTGCAGTCTGCTGCTTCATCCCATTCCCCTCCCGTGACAGTCAATAGTGCTGTTTTCCAAATGTCTCCGGCCCTCTGCCTTTCAGGAACATGGGGAATTATACTCTCTAGCTCACTTGTGGCTGGGGGGTACCAGGCAAGTAGTTCTGGCCAGTAAGTTGTAAGCAGAAGTGATGCGAGTCATTTCTGAACCAAAATATTTAATTTCCAATGGGAAAGCCCCAGAGCTTTCTTCACTCCGGCTGCAAAGACCGGCATCACTCAAGACGATGGCTGTTCTGTCCGAATGAGAGACGTTCCGGACAGGTTCCATGACCCTGGGCCCCAGCTGAAGCTGTAGAAGCGTGAGTGAGAAACAATCCTTTGTTGTTCAAATCCTCTGATATTCAGGGACCGATTTGTCACCACAGCAGAA